TTCTTCTCTCTCTCTCTCTCTCTCTCTCTCTCTCTTTCTCTCTTCCTTTCTCTCTTTCCGTTCTTCCTCGTCTCGGAGAATCGAAAGAAAAAAGAAAAAAAAAAAAAAAGGGAAGGAAAACCGGATTCACCCGCGCCCGAGGGCCTGTCATTATTATTGCGAACGAACGATAATAAGTGTCGCACGTCGACGCGCCTCGTGTTTCTGTCACTCTCGTCATCAAACTCGTTGATAACAAAGAGACGGCCATTTCGAGGATGGTAATTCGGGCTCGTGTTTCTCACCTACAGTAGACCAGGCCGTCCCTCTGCCCGAAATGATCGCCCTTGTTCAGCGGGGTGCCGCATGAGGCGCATGTGAAGCAGGCCACGTGGTACACCAGATCCCTGGCGCGCATCACCAGCTCCGTGGCGGAGATTCCCGCTCGGCATCGGGAACATCTTCCGGCAAACAACCTGGGGAAAGATTGTCGATCCTCTTTCGATTAATGCGGCGCGGCTCGGAAAGGAATATCGTTCGTCCATCGTGTTTTTTAATATATATATATATATATACGGTTAATTTAATCTCGAAATGAAAATCTCGGTTAAAAAGAATATATTTGAATCGAAATATAATGGACGGTATAATATAGGCATTTTACGATGTTGTTAAATCGAGACGAGAGTATATCGTAATAAAGGGGGTGTGAAAGTGAAAAAGTGGATGAAATTTGAGAGTCTCGTGAGGAATAAATTTAAGTTGAACAGTTAAGGTTGAGTATCGTTGGTATTTGCGATTATGGTATTTTACGAAAAATAAGCGCGCCTCGTGATCGAAACGGAAATGATAAAAATGTTAATGGATTTTGGTCGTTGTAACGTTGTTATTGTTATTAAAAGTTACACGTATCGTTAAAACTTTCAAATCCTTTCTTCACTCCGATAACTTTTAACGAGTGTATGATATTTCGCGATATATTATCCTCACGCATGTCTGTTTACACGTTTTCTTCTTTTCTCTCTCTCTCTCTCTCTCTCTTTTTTTTCGCGTTAATCCCGCGCGTATTTACCTTCATTCTCGATATCGTTGTTATTACATCATTTTTGCAAGCAACGTATATAATCCGGCGCAAATACGCAAATAAATAAATAAATCAGAGCGTGGCGCGTACACCGGGCCGATCGAACATTTTTATAATCGAATGAGTTTCAGCATACGATAAACGGACGCCCGGTTAATGCAATTTACGATCGCTTACTTTTTGCCCGATCGCATCCACGGAAATTTCAATCTCGATTATATCGATCCGCGATGAAGTAGAACGATATCAACCGTGCCTGGTCGCCCACTGGTTCACAATAGTTCTCAAGAAACGTCAAAATTTTGTTGTCCAAAAAAATTTTCAAAATACGCGAATCGCGTTCCATAGCAATTCTGAAATATCCATATCGATCCTTATTAGAAACTTTGGTTTATAATTTCTCTCGATGCTGTTCGCTTATTTAAACCCTACTTTTTCGATCCCAAGAATTCTGAAACTTTCTAAAGCGTCCGCTTGGAGCAAATTTATTTTTATCTCGCCCTCGCGAACGAATAGAAATCCCTTACCTATCCCACATCCAGCCCGACTCAACGACTCAACAACTCTACGTCCTCTATCTGCCCACCAATCAACCCTCTTAATACGAAACCGTTTCGTATCCAGCAATAGAGCAACCGTAGGCGAGGCAGAGCCGAGTTCTCGTTCCGGGTTCTTCCTCGTTCGATCACGCGTTCTTCGTAGAATCCCCTAATTACGAAATCAACGATCCCGATCGTCGCTCGAATTCATCGATCCTCCGCCTCCCCTCCCCCGGTTCGCACGTGACCTCCGTTGTTCGTGACTATCGGCTCGAACCAAAATCGGAGAACAATGCAGCTGCCTGCCTCCGCCTGGGTCCGCGTTTTTCTTCCACCAATACACCATAACGTCCTCGAAGGGAGGCGGAGGGGAGAGGAGGGAGGGAGAGGTGGGATAAGGGTTTCCTTGGTGGCCTGTCTCCCTCTCTCTCTCTCTCTCTCATATCGGCGATCGAGAGGAGGAGGCGAGGTTACAGTTTTCGAAGCGCGAAAACCAAATAGAGACAAAGGGGTTGGCCTGGATATGGATCGTTGCATATTGCATGGGAGCCAAGCCCGGTGTATTCTTCTCTAACGAACCGGCAGCCTCGAGTCCCTGGGCCTTGGGCGTGTTGTGCACCCTCGTCTGGAATCTCGTCTGGATCGAGGATGACGAGGGGGTGGAGGACGGTGGATGCGAGGGATTATTGGTGGAAAACGGGAATTTTACTTAAACGGGAATTAAGGAAACGGTGTCGGTGTCGAGATCGGTTTTTTTGTCCACGCGTGAAAAGAAAAATATTGAACACGAATCAACGTGGAGCATTAAAGAATTTGCAAACATGGATGTAATTTCGTACATTTTTTTACTATACGTGTAGTTCGTCTATTGATTGAAATTTCTCGTGATCGAAGAAAAGAATTATATATAGCCGTTTTATATATATATATAATCTTTCATCTTGGTCGTATCGTAGACAATGGTTGATTCGCTGATATCGCGAATGTACAAACACGTCCGCTTCGCGTACGAGGATAGCAGGATCCTTATCTTGCAGGAGAGGGTGGATTCTTTTGACGAGATGCCTTTGTTTGCGCGATATTATATTTCGCTGGGGAAAGCTTCCGTGAAGGAGAGCTTCCGGCTGTAAAGCCGCACGTTACGCTGCATTCGTTATGTCTTTCGTTTCTGGAGAAGAAATTCGTTTCAATTTCCCGGCCGTAACAACCCGGCTTGCTGAAAAATGCTACTCGTCGGACCCGGCTTTGTTCCCTTTAATTATTCCGTTTCATCGAGGCTCGCGCGCAACGCGTACGCATCACTGATTAGCGATGATTACAGGATCCTGGGACGAGGGAACCTCGCGACCTAATCCCTTTTTCCCGTCATTAAAAAGAAAAAAAAAAAAAAAAAAAGAAGAGAGAAGAGGGCGAAAGAAATAACAAGGAAACCGAGATGCTGCTTCGAGATAATATCGTACGAAGAAAGAGAATTTCATTCTTTTCGCACAATTTTCTCCTCTTCTTTTTTTTCTTCTTGCTCGATTAATTAATTCTCGAAGATATAACGACACAATGTAACGGAAAGGAAAAATTTCGTTTCTTCTCGCACAGTTTTCTTCTTCTCTTTTTCTTCTCGTTTGACTTTAAGATATGGTGCTTATTTTTATTTTTTTTTTTTTTTTTGTTCAATTAATTCATACATCGGGAGGAAGAAATCGGTTATTACTCGGTCGTTGGACAAGGATATACTTTCGCGGTGAATAATTCATAGGGGATTGAATATTTAACGCCGGTTTTCCGGAGGTCCCCGAACCTCGTCAATTTAACAATTTCAATCCGGTTAATGCGAAACGGAAACAAGGAACACCAGGAGGGAAACACGATACGGGAGAGGAGAAGGAACGATTCTCACGCTTTCGAGGAATTATGCAACGCGTGCTCCTCCAGCCGCCGTCCGCTAACTGCTCTCTCTGAATTTCAACGAGAGCGCCGTTTTCATAGGTTGAAAAACACAATAACAGATCCGTCCGCGTGTAATTACCATTTCCACAATGGCCGAGTTTAACGTAATTAATTTCATTCATCGAGATTTTGCATTTTTATATCTTAATCTAAACGGAGGCGCATAAGAGAGCTTTCTCGCATAAGGAGCGCAGGGAAAATTTGTTTCGCTTCGCGCATAACTGATTATCTCTCGTTACATCGGAACGCGAGGTTAACACGCGTTTAAATTTGAAATATAACCCTTTGTCTCCTTGCGAGGGAAAATTCAAACCGATATGAGAATAACACTTTCGTACCATTCTCCTCCCCGGCTCTTCTCTTCTAATAATCCTCTTAAATAATATCTTCTTGAACCTCCGTTCCCTCTCGAGGAAACAGGAAATCGTCAATTTAATCGTATCAATTAAATTATCGTACCTGCTTCCGGGAAGTGAAAATTTTCTCCAAAGACTTCGTTAGGGAGGAAGATTTTTTTTTAAAAATTTTGAAACGAAACGAAACACGGGAGAATTACAATATTTGAGAGTTTTCAATTCCTCGAGTTATTCACTTCTCGCGAGGAAAAGGGATCCTCGGAATGAAAACTCGAAAACTCTCGAGAGAATTCTTTTCGAGACGCGAAATATTAGGGAACGAGATTCGAAAACGCGCGCGTTTGATCGATCGAAATTGCAGCAATGGCGGGTGCTGGAAGAAAAACGGAGTGTCGCCCGGGCAGAGAATGGGGTGACCGCTGGAAATCGTGACCGCTTGTTTTTATCGCGCCGAACGTATCACCGTGGCAAGAATTTCGGGTTAGTCCTAGGACAAGGAACGGCTTAGACCTGGCCATTAGTAGACATTTTGTGTGGTCCTGGGCCGAGTTTTGAGCGGGGCGGACGCTCGTATGCAAATTCGCGGATACCCTAATAAATACTGAAACGGGAAGCCCGGGCCAATCGACGATCTTGCATTAATTTCGCGCGTCATCCCGCGCGTAATTCGACGTAAAACGCCACGATGAATGGCTGGATTCGATTTTGCTTCGAAAAGGAAGGGGTGGTTGTGTAACCACATTTCAACAGTAGGAAAAATTTCGAAAATATCGTAGAAATAATCTCCTATATTATTCAGAATTGCGCGATACGAGTACGTAGAAAACGTGGGATAAAATTTTTCATCGATTCGAAGCCGAGGCTTCAAATCGACGAATTACGTTATGTTACTTAATGTTATCACAAGTTCGTTATGCATCTATAGATGTAAATTCAAATAAAAATTTCGAGAACCGCGTCCAAGACGAAGCCAAGACCGGCCGAATCCCCGAAATAATCGCGAAAACACGAGCGTGTCCTGAACACGCTCCTTAGAAACGGAATTCCGCGCGGTCCAAGTCTAGTCCCCCTCCCCTAATCCTCTTACGACTACTTGCACCAACCTATAATAATCCTCTTTGCAGTAGATGTTGCCGTCCCTGGCGAAGCACGTCAACTCGGCGGCGAGGGGCACGCGGCAGTGGCAGCAACGAAGACAGCCGCAGTGCCACGCGCGGTCCGCAGCCCTTAGGTACCATCGCTCGGCTATCTCCCTGCCGCAACCCCCGCAACCGAGGACCCCGTCGGTGTTGTTGTTCTCGCCGCCTCCGAGCTGCCGGTTGCTGACGGCGCCATCCCCTGGCGGGGGCGTGCTGCTCCCGCACCCGACTTCCTTCAGCATCTCGAAACGGACCGCCGCGGCCACCGGCCCATTCTGCCACAACAGAAATCCCGCCTTCCTCATTTCTTCCTCGAGAAATCTTTCTCCTTACTTTTACTTAACGAAACTTCGCCTCGATCCCTTCGTGTCGTAAAAAAGGGACGATAAAGCGCGAAAGAAAAGAAGAAAAAACGGGTTGACGCTTTAAGCGCAGCCACAGATCCCATCGATTTTCCACGTATTCCACTCTCGAATCCATTCGTCCCCGATTTCACCGTGAAAATTCATCCGACGTGACTTTTTCTCTCTCTCTCTC